ACAATTTTACTCTTGAGTTATAGATCTCTTTAAAAAAAAATATATCAAAATATGCCTCTACAGGTAATCCTCTATTTCAGACCACAAATTGAGCCCAAAATTTGTGTTGCTAAGTGAGACATTTGTTAAGTGAGCTTTGCCCTGTTTTACGACATTTCTTGCCACCGTTGTTAAGTGAATTGCTGCAGTTATTTAGTTAGCAATCCGGTTTTTAAGTCAGCCCAGCTTCCCCATTGATTTTGCTTTTTAGAAGGTCACAAAAGGGGATCACAGGACCCCAGGACATTGCAACTCGTCATAAATATGAGTCAGTTGCCAAGCGCTTGAATTTTGATCACCTGAACTATGGGGATGATTCAGTGGTTATAAGTGTGAAAAACAACCGTAAGTCATGTTTTTCAATGTCGTCGTAACTTTGAATTGTCACTACACAAACTCTTGTAAGTCAAGGAGTTACCTGTCCATCCTTCCAGGTGTCAGTTGCTTGTCAGTTACCTGTCCATCCTTCCAGGTGTCAGTTACCCCCACTCAGGGGTGGGATTCAATTGGTGTTACTACCGGTTTGGTGACTATGTTTTGCTGTGCGTGTGTGTGAAAAGCCTTAAGCTGTGCTGCCCAGACAGCTGAAAAGCACCGCGCGCAGGTGTGCAGCGTTTGAAAAAGCTCCTTTTTCCTGCTTTTTCAACCTCATCCGTGCCGTGCAAAGCAGCTGAGGTTGAAAAAGCAGGAAATAAAGGACAGGTAAGAGCCCTGGCAGGCAGGTGGGCCAAACAGCAGCAAACACAGAACCAGTTTGGTGTCTGCTGCTCTTCAAAGCTACCGGTTCTATAGAGCCGGGCAGAATCGGTAGCATCCCACCCCTGCCCCCACTTAAATCATGAGTCTCGAGCCAACCTTCCAAACTTAAAGAAGATTTATTGGGAGTAAACACGCCGGCACTGCACCCCCTGGGTGTATCGTAATTCATATTCTCCAATGGGACACCTCCATAGCCCAGAGTCATCAATCAGGCTCTCCAGTTAGAATTTTGCAAGGCAGAAACTTTGGTCACCTAGTTACTTATCTTTGAAAACATTTATGGAGTGTAATTTCGGTTTTGTAAGCTGGCGCACTGCTCCCCCTCCCTTTCTGTTAAAGACCAGAGAAATATTTTATGAGTTGACTTTCGGCTCCCCTCACTTCATATAATTCATTTTCACCCTTGATCCTGGTTTTCCCCCAACCCCTCTGGGTGTATCGCAATTCATATTCTCCAGTGGGACACCTCCATAGCCCAGAGTCATCAATCATGCTCTCCAGTTAGAATTTTGCATAGCAGAAACTTTGGTTACCTAGTTACTAACTTTGAAAACATTTGTGGAATGCATTTTTGGTTTGCAAGCTGCCGCACTGCTCTCCCCTCCCTTTCTGTTGGCATCTCTAAAAAGACTAGAGAAATAGTTTATGAGTGGGGGGGAAAAAAGACACAGTGCAAATTTCTTTTTATAATTTTACTGTAACAAAGCGACAAAGGGAACGCATGTACAGATAGTCCTTGAGTTACAACTGCATAACAACCTATGCAAAGTTGAAAAAAATGATTTACAAACCGGTCCTCAGGATTAATGACTGTCACGGTGTGCCCGCAGTCATGGGATCAAAATTTGGTAACAATAGGTAACCGGCATGTATTTATGACAGTTGCAACGTCCTGGGGTTGGAGTCCCATGATCACCATTCCTGACCTTCACAACCGGTTTTGGACAAGCGAAACCAGTGGTGGGGGCAGCTGGATTCCCTTAATGCCCATGCAATTCACTTAATGCCTGTGCAAAAATGTTGTTAAATTAGGCATGGCGCATTTAAATACCTGTGGCTTAGCAATTGAAGTTTCGATCTCAGTTTTGGTCAGAAGTCAAGGATTAGTTGAAAATACGTTGCTAATATACTATTAGTATGTAAAGAAAAAAAAGGGTGGAATGTATTGTCATAAATTTCCAAGAAATATGATCGAAATTGCCTTCTTGAACTGAGGTGGTGTCAGCAAAATAAAATATGGCTTTGTTGCAAAAAGCTTTTATACTTGTGGCTTGGTCTTGTGCCAGCTAGCTAGATTCAACTCCTTTTACTAAATCACCTAAGTGTGCAAGGTTAATCTTTTGCAATAAAAACTGGGTCAGGTCATCTGCGAGAATTTATTCTACATCAAGTCTTTCTCAGAAACTTTGACAATTCTTTTTTTCTACCTGTTTATTTATATATTTTCCCATTACATTACATAAGTGCTTAGTGAACAGCATATTTATTGTCTGGATCATTTTATTTATATATAGTAATGCTTTTCCCACTCCTAATTTGCCAGTTCTAAGCCCGTTCTTTGAGAGGTGTGTTGAAGTTTCGATCTCAGTTTTGGTCAGAAGTCAAGGATTAGTTGAAAATACGTTATGACATTGCTAATATATTATTAGTATGTAAAGAAAAAGGGTGGAATGTATTGTCATAAATTTCCAAGAAATATGATCGAAATTGCCTTCTTGAACTGAGGTGGTGTCAGCAAAATAAAATATGGCTTTATTGCAAAAAGCTTTTATACTTGTGGCTTGGTCTTGTGCCAGCTACCTAGATGCAACTCCTTTTACTAAATCACCTAATTGTGCAAGGTTAATCTTTTGCAATAAAAACTGGGTCAGGTCATCTGCGAGAATTTATTCTACATTAAATCTTTCTCAGAGATTTTGACAATTCTTTTTTTCTACCTGTTTATTTATATATTTTCCCATTACATTACATAAGTGCTTAGTGAACAGCATATTTATTGTCTGAATCATTTTATTTATATATAGTAATGCTTTTCCCACTCCTAATTTGCCAGTTCTATGCCTGTTCTATGAGAGGTGTGTATGTAAAGAGACCTGAGGAACTATAATTACGTATCAAGTCATTATACTTTAATATAGATAAACCAGAATATCTGGAGTTAAATTTTCCTTGGCTAGCTAAATGAAATTGTTTAAAAGTTTTAAAAAAGCACCTTCTCGCTTGAGCAGTGGGCTGGACTAGAAGACCTCCAAGGTCCCTTCCAGCTCATTCTATTCTAAGTTCTAAGAAAGTTTAGTTCAAATCTGCTCTTTCCCACAACTACTGCCCTCTTTGAAAACATGCCAGAGCTACAGCACCCCCTTCTGGCAGCTGATAGGATTGCACACAACCAGGGTCAGACTGCATTTTCTCACTGACTGTCCAGCCGAAGAGAAAAATGGCTTCAGAGCTGTGTTTCTCAAACAGGACAACTTTAAGGCTTGTGGACTTCAACTCCCAGAATTCCCCAGCCAGCATGCTAATAAAATATCACTATGCTCAGTCCCCCACCCCCCAAGATGAGCCAGGATCAATAGAGGTTGCCACCAGCTGCAGATAGTGTGAGAACAAAATTTGACACTTTTTTGTTCCAACAATGTCCTGGAGGTGGCAAGATTAATTCTATTTCTAAAGTTTAAATAGCTTCAAAAGGTGCTTGAATTCACTGCCAAATCAAATCAACATTTTTTTGCTGCAAAAGTGTGCAAAATTTGTTTTTTTAAATGTTTCCTTTTAAAGGTGGAACAAATGTACTTTTTAAAAGAAGCAACTTTCCATAAGTAAGAAATGTGCTTTTTCAAACACCAGCTTTGAATGCTATAGCATCCACACTATTTTTTGAAAGATATGGCTCTGTCCTACATTTTATTCTGTCTGAGAATTGAGGCAGTTGGCATTTCCAAGTAACTCTTCTCAATTTCTTTGTGAGGCAAAAGCCTGAAATTTGTGCTACCAATAGAAGAGAATATTTGCGGCTCAGGGTTGAACTGTGGGATCCTCGGTGCTCTCTGAGCTTGGTGGTTTCCTTGCAGACGTTTCATCACCCAGTTATTTAACACCATCAGTGCTAGCGGGTGTAGGGTTTTGCTCCCTGTTTATGTACTAGCGGCCTTTGCCAGGTCAGTGTTGGTAGGAGCGTTCTAGGTCACCAACCTTTTGGACCTCAGGGACCACCAAATTCATCATTTTAAATCCCGCGGACCAGAGACCCTGGGAAAATCCCCCCAAAAATCTGCAGGAAAATTCCCCTACCGATCGATCGTTTTTTATTTGGGATTGCAGGATACTGTCTCCAGCTCCGTTCTCGGGGGGCGGAGAGAGAGAGAGACTTTTGGCTTCATGCAAGGAAAGCAGCAGAAGTCTTTCTTTCTCTCCCCCAAACTCCGCCAGAAATGAGTCTTTGCTGGTGCAGCCTCTTGGAAATAGGAGGCCTTGCAGGGTCCCAAAGACTCATTTCTGGCGGAGTTTGGGGGAGAGAAAGGAAGACTTTTGGTGCTTTCCTTGCGTGCAGCCAAAAGCAGAAGAAGAAAGAAGTGGAAAGAAGCAGCCCGTGGCCAGGCCAGGCGCGGGGGGCAAATGGGGCAAGTTTCCCCCCGCCCCTTCCTCCCTCCCCTCACTACCTCGTGTTGTTTGCAATGCAAGCGATGCAAGCCTTGTGTTCCCGCGGGACATGTGGGTGGTGCAGCCTTGTGTTCCTGCACAGCCTGGAGTAATTGCTTTGGGGGGTGCGTTGGGGGTGACATTTCTCTGCAGACCACCAAAATTTTCTCGTGGACCACCAGTGGTCCTCAGCCCACTGTTTGGCGACCACTGTTCTAGGTGGCTCCTTGATAGTTAGATTTGCAACCAATGCAACTGAGTTTCTAGTTTTCTGCAGTTTTTGCACCTGGAGGAATTTTCCCCTTCAGAAGCTGCAGTGAATATCTTGGAAGGGAGAGTGTGTGGGGGGGTGTAATTTCCATTGTTTTGGGGGTATTTCTGAAATCTTCACCAGGGGATGGGCAGCTGCTCAGATTTGAAGGCCTGTTTTTGGGTCAGAGGGCTTAGGAGCCTCACCGCCAGGGGAACCTATCACAAAGCTGTTAAGAGTGAGCAGGTACTGCACACACACACACACACACACAGAGCAGATACTAAAGTCCGTCTTTCCTTTTTGCTTGCAGCTCAAGATCTGGATCTATCCAGAGGGAACAAGGAACATGAATGGGGACCTTCTGCCGTTCAAGAAGGGGGCTTTTCATCTCGCCATCCAGACGCAGGTAAGCGATGCTTCTTTGCAGAGTGATTTGCCTTCCATGGGTTGAAATGGGATTGTTTACAACTATGATTATTTATGTCTTCTTCTTCTTCTTCTTCTTCTTCTTCTTCTTCTTCTT